AAGAAGTTATACCGAAGAGCTTATAAGCTTTTCTTGAATCTTATATAGCTTACTAAGACACATTATTTCCAATATATTTTTAAAGGGCAGAATGAACCATTTTGTTATTATATTATATATAGATTATTAGACTTAAGTAAGTACCTATAGCTTATATAATTAATTTTAGTGTTAGTACTAGTAGCGTAATTCTAAAGACATGTACGTATTAATGAAACTGTCACAATTTATTCTATATCTATTTATACTGCATATAATAAAATTATAACTGATCGCCATCTGTACATGAAAAATATTTGAGAAACTATTATTATTATTATAACTATTATTGGGGGTCTTTATCAACGCAACAGAACCCAAAACATAAGTTTTTTATATTTTTGTTTGTTCGTCTATCGTTTGTGCGCGCTAATCTCGGAAATGGCTTAAAAGATTTGGGTGCGGTTTTCACTAATGTATTGTGGTAAGCTTCACTTAATATTTAGTATTTGTTTTATTTCAATCGGTTTATAAATAAAAAAAATATGTCAATTTAAACAATCAGAACCCGAGCGAAACGTGGGTGAAAAGTATACCTCTGTGTTGACTTAATTCAATCCAGTGAAGTCGTTGATACCATAATAATATGAAATAAAGAAACTATCTGTAACGGCTTAATAATACTTATTGCCCATAGAGCTAAATATGGATGATTTTATGTACAGCTACAATTTCAAAAATGTTGTAAGTAATGTAAGTCCTTACACTTACGAGTATATACCTATTAGTAATCTTAAGTATGTGAATCATAGTGAATCATAGCCTTATAAATATTTTTAATCAACAAAATTAAAATGATCTAATCGAACTTTTTTACCTTACTTAATTACGATACGCACTGTTATTTGTAATGTTGTTTATACTTTTTTGTTTTAAACTCTACCTTCAATGTTAAAAATTGATCCGCCCCTAAAGGCTGTCACATGACGTTAAATAGCATATAATCTCTCTCAATAAACAGCCTTTATTCATGAAGATTTTTCAAATAGACTGATTGTTCCAGAGATAGAGATTCCAGGGCGATAAATACAAACAGGGATTTATATATTTAGACTCCCAATCACCAAACTAGCCCATCCAAAAATACCACCTACTCTTCCAAAGGCCTTGTCCCATATGTTAAACTACAGCCCACAAAAACAATAAAAATCTCTTCAGCTAATATATTAATATATGTTTAACAAAAACTACATCGTAAAATTTTATTATCTTTACATATTAAATTATATTAAGATAGTAAAAAGCATATTTTAAATTTGATAATATCATCTTTAAATAAAACTAAATATATTAAAATTGTGCAATGGCTATCGTTAACATTAAAGATAATATCAGAGATTTAAATGGTCCTTGCGAACTCCTTAATCGGAGGATACATTGTGTTCTTGTCATTTTAGGTTACGCCATTTTAATATATTACGAGTTATTTTGCTGTAGATCGTGTGTCGGTCTGTCCGCATTAAGTATGATATATTATAGCATAACAGTAAGATGCTCAATTTATTTAAGCCTCTTAGATTTGTAACAATGAGATAAACGTACGAGTACGTCTAAGTATTCTATTTTTAGATAAATTGATGTGTTGTAAAATTTTATTATTAGTTTTAAAGAATTAAAAAAATAGTTTAGTCTTAGTAAAAACCATGATATAGAAATAATTTATGTGTTCAGCCCTTTTTAGCATCCGACTGCTGGGCACGGGCCTCTTTTCCATACGATGGCAATCAGGCCATAGTCCACCACGCAAGCAAAGTCGATGGTCTTTACATGTCTTTCGAAAACTTGCTTAGTTTTCTCAGAAATGTAGATTCCGTACGAAGTTTTCCTTCGCCGTAAGACAAATGGTAATCGTGTCTGAAATGATTCGCACATGAAAATATCAGAAGTGCGTGAACCGGAATTTGAACCCGCTTCACTCCGTTTCCCAAGCAAGCGCGTTACGGCTGGGCTACCACTTACCTATAGGACCTAATAATAAAAGCATATTATTATGTACAATGTTAGTATGAAAATCTATACTATTTAACCTTGATATCAAATCAAGGATGCTTTTAGTGTCACTAATTTAAAATTTCTAGAAGTCTTGAACTTTTCAAGCGCGCGCGTAGATTAGATAACAAAAACATTAAATATAAATGTGTAAACGGAACCAACTCATCGTTGAGGTTCATTTAAATTTATAATTTAATGGATTAAATTTATTTGTAATTATAAGAAAAAATGAATATATGCTTATAAAACGCGCTGAAGTACTATTTAAAACCGAAATTAGGTACCAAATAGTAGATTCATTAAAAAAAATATTTAACAAAATGTAAACCGTATTTGCTTTAACTAATTAATAAACTATATTACAATTAACAAAGTTGAAAATATTTTCTCTCATCTTCTTATTTATTTTCCTCTTTTCTTTTGAAATATATTTCTCAGTATATAAATAAAATATTAAATAACGTTTTTCAAAATATTATATAGATTTCAATTAATATGCATAGTTCATCTTTAATCTTTTACTTACATATATAATTGTACCAAATTACTTTAAAATGGTTTCAGTAAAATAATACAAACAGACTAACACGCTGTTGCATTTACAATTTTATATAAGTCCAAAGGTATATGTTAATTTTTTTACTATTAGTATTGACATTCAATGAAGTCCACTGCAAATGTTACACGGTAGATCTTTACCAATTCGAAGCGCAGTAATCAGGCCGTGAAGCAAAGCAGAGAAGCGAAACGACGTGATTAGGTACATTCTGTGATTCCCTTCATATTCTAAACGGTGTATTGTTTGGATGAAATTCAGAAAGCAGCTGTTTTATATAAATTATATTATTCATAGCCATCGTTTATCTTTTATAATACGTAATATATGTTGGGACATTAATTCACTATACGCATCTAGTTCCGTGGTAAGCTACGAGGCTTGTGGTATAGATACCAGATAGTTGATACACTACACACATATGACTGTAAATACATACATATTATTATAAATATAATCACCCATGACTGGAGTACAAACATTCGTGCTCATCACACAAATGAAAGCCCTCAGCGGGACTCGAACCTGCGACCGCTGGCACAGCAAGTAGGGTCACTACAAACTGAGCCACACGCGTCGTCAAGTATACATATGTACTTATTACGAAGAAGATAGTAAGTCAAAATAAAAGCCAGGCAAGAAATCTAACTCGTACATAGTGAGTTCTGCGTAACATAGTATGAAAAATCAAATTTTTCATACGAATTTTTTTAGGTTAAAAATAAACTAAAATATTTACGAATCTACAATTTTCTTTTTATTGATGGCATAAATAAGTTTGTATTTTCTATGTTAGGTGAATGAATCAAAAAATATCCCATATTTAAAGTTATATACGTGTAGTGTATCAACTATCCGGTATCCATAACACAAGCCTCGCTTAACATGGAACTAAATGGTGATGTGTGTTCATGTCACAACATATTAATATTATTAGTATTTATGTCGATATAAAAATTAATATATGTTCCATAGCCACAATTGACATTAGGTAAATGAGGAAACTAAAAAAAACATATATCTTATAAGACAGTTGCAGCGTTTTTACTGGAAATTTAAACGAAAACTTGATAAAAGTCCAAGCATAAATTAGTAGTTAATTATTCTTCTCGTTAACGTTAAGGTTACATTTAGTAAATGTAGAGAAAATAATTGTTTTTACTAAGTATTGGTATTTTTTGTTGAAAATTATGTTTTTGTGCATTTTTATTAAGCGAGTAATATCATTTAACACTATAGTAAATGAAAACATAGATGTCGACATAGTAATAAATAGATAATATTATAGATTGCTTAATTTGTAGATGAGTTTAATAATATGTAAATATATATTATACGATTCGCAACTCTTTAATAAGGAAAAATGTATATTAAAGAACAAAAGCTTAATTTAAAAATTTATTATTTACGATAAAAATATTTAAAAACCGATTGACCCAGAGAATCAAGAACATTATAAATTCATAAAGATGAGAAATTTTTAATTTATCAAGGTCTTCATATTGATTGATTTTCAATTTGAGATATATATTTATATATTTCAATCATAAATACTACAATCGACCGTGTAAATGAACGCATACCTACTGTAGGTTCCGTACCACCGGTATTTCTGCAGGTGTGACCACAACATAAATATAAAATTCTTTAAAAAATATGAGCCAGTCTCCTATTAGGGTTCAACAGTTCAGGTTCAAAATTACTACACGTAATACTTACTTATTTCGACGTTTCGAATGCTTTACAGCAAACATGGTCACAGAAGACACTCTCGAGACCACGTTTGCTAATCGTCGACTAAACGTCGATAAAACTAAATGTTGCATAGAGATAGATTTTGATACAGAAAACGACATGATGAGATATTAGTTAGGTACAAAAAAAATTTAGAATGCCAATGAGCAGTCGTGGCAGGCAAAGGCATAAAATAAATCTTACCAACTGTTTTACTAATAAAACTGTATACGTATTTACTATTTACTTAATAATAACACTCAAATAAACTTTTATTTTGAGACTATTAAAAATGTAAATTAATTTATTAAACTTTGGCATATTTATTGACCATTTGTTACAGTTATTACTTTAAAAAATACCATAACGTAAACTGAATTAAGTAGAATAAGTAGTGTGTGCGTGAAATAAGATGGTTTTTAATAATATACTTTATATATAAATAAGTGTAAATAAAGCAATGCAAATAAACACCAAATATGCATGCTTGTGTGTATTGCAAAAAAAACATACAGGATATAGGTAACATAAACTCCTTTCTTAAATAAATTATTGTATTCCACGAAGAAAACATGACGTTTAATATTCAAAATGTCAAAAGTGACAGTGAGTAATTTAACCCAAGTGAACTTTTAATTTTAAATATATTTAAAGTGTACATCATTTACATTTAGCGAAGATGGAGAATAAATCTAGCTCGGATAGTAGCATTTCTTTGGATAGCTTAGAAGTTGGAAACGGAAAAAAATCGACCTTAAAAGCAAAGACCACTAAAGAAAATGTTCAAACAATACTTGTACCTTTCTATGAAAAAGATGTTCTTATAAAAATTCCCAAATTAAAGAAAAAAATTAAACAAAACGTGGAAAAACGCAATAAGAATGAAGATAAATTGCAAGAATCTAGAAGTTACTTGGTGAATAAAGACGCGCAAAGGAGTAAAAAGGCATCTTATTTGGAAATGTTTAGGAAACAGTTTTCTACTAATCATACTGAAGTACATAATAATATAGATCATACAGAAATACGCTCTATATCACCTCAAGTTGGCGATACTCCCAACGAAAGTATAGGAGGTGAATCTACAAATGCAATAAACGATTTTTATAACACTGAAGCTTATAATGAAATTTATTATGAAAAAGTTTTGAATGGTGAGCTTGAACGATATCTTAATGAATCTTTTGAGCAAGCTTTGAATTTTGACGAAGATATAATGAAATTAGAAGACACATTTAATAACTTGAGAAGCGTGTCTGAAGTTTCGCAACCAAGGCGTCATGTACGAAGATTAATAGAGCCACAAATACATAATGTACGCTTGGGTGGATTAGGTCCAGATATGGAAAACATAAAACCTAGACTGGAAAGGGCAAGAAGTCTTCAGAGATACTCTGAAAAAGTTAGAATGGAAAATAGAGTCAAAATTTATAAAAAAGGCCTTGAAGCTAAAAACGAGACAAAAGTCGAAGCTATTGATACACGTAAAAATTCAAGTAATAAAAAATCAAAACAATATAACGACACCCAAAATTCTTATTTAGTTAACAAAACTTTACAAGATAATTCATCTATTATTAAAAAGGTTTATCATACAAAATCTAAATCAGCCGACTTGTTTAAAAAACGAGATAAAGAAAAGGAGGCTAAACTCAAAGATGTTTGTAATAACGAAAGTCAAAAGGAAGGCGATCCCAAACGAATTAAAAATCATATGAAAATACTATCAGCTAAAGATCGAGCTCTAAGGGATAATATTGATGGTCGACATTTAAGAGCGAAATCTAGTGCAAAGACTAGAGAAATTCATATGGAAACCAAACAAAACGTTCCTCCTGTGCAAATTAATTTCTTAGTTAATGTTGGTGAAGTTAGACCTTCAAGCACTTTAAAATCATTAGAAGAGAAACATCGTTTATATCAAGAAAAAGTCAAATCATTCACAAATACGAAAAACACTTAAATTGTATTTTTGTTCTAACTTATTTGTCAATCATTTACTATGTCGATAATTTTATTACGAAAACTGTGATGATAATACGTTGTTTTAACATTTTATGATTTTTTAATGAAAATTTATAAGCCAGTTTTCTGTCATTAATTTCAAAAATAGCTTTCTTATTATTTATATTTTGCTATTTTAAGATATGCTTTTTATTTTGAGCTTTATATTTTTTAAAAGCCCCTAATTCAGAAAAAATAATCGTTCAGCATTCCATAATATTTAAAGTTTAAATAACATTTTTCAAATAAATTGATTTACTTAATAATATTATTATTAATATTAATTTGAATATACTGATTTTGGACATAAAAATCATATTATGTTTAATCTAATGAATAATATGAAGTAGATCAGTTTATGAATGGGACTGCGTAAAAATCAGTAAGAAATATCTAGAAATGTGGTTTATCTATATCTATACATAGTAAAATTCTAACTGAATCGAATCTGTACATTAAATACTTTTTGGGAAACCTACAGAGGCCGGATCTATAGTTTTTAGATTTTTTTTCTATCTATCTGTCTATCTGAGAACGCATCACGAGAAAATCACTGTACAGATTTTGGTTTTTTTTTTTTATACTATTCCGAATTAGTGCTTGACTACGTTCCACCTGATGGTAAGTGGTAACGCAGTCGTAGATGGTAAGTCGCACTAATTCAGTAGCCACCTATTCACTCTTGCCTTGAAGACACCCATTGGTGAAATTTGGTATGTTGATGGATGGGTATCCGGGTCAACATATAGATTTTTTTTACTGCGGGAAAATATCTCATCTCTGAGAAATCTACGGGACGAACCCGAGCGGAACGAGGGTAAGTCGCTTGGTCAATTATAAAAATATACTCGTATCTCAATGTATATTGTAATATATTAAACCAGTTCATATATCAAATAAAAAATAAAATGCAGCAATAAAAATAAATATTGGTCTAAATAGTAATCATTAATTATTTAATATACCTAGTATGCGGAAATGCGAGCACGTTTATTTATTCTATAATCAAATTATTTGTGCAAAATTGTAGATCCTCATGAATATATTAAGTTAAAATTTTTCACGTCATCTGTTTACTTGTAAATGTTTTTGGAGTTTACTCCTTAAGAATTGATTTTCATATCAAGCCCCCAGTATACAAATTTTATGAGGGGTGAAATTAATAACTCAAAAGCGTTACGTTTTATATCATTGTAAATCCAATATGGCGGACTCTCAAAGATGGCAAACTGTTTTTTTATGCACCCGCCTGATATGGATATTACATGAAAGGGTTCGCTAAGAAGAATACAAAAAAACATTATTTTAAAATGTTTATAGTATGATTAAGTATAATATAATATATACGATAAATTAAATATATTATAATTATTTATATATAATTAATTATCAAATATTCTCTTTTTTGTAGAAGTAAACTCCAGTCCTACGTCGGAGCTGACACACACACACACGTTTTTAGGGTTCCGTACCTCAAAAGGTAAAAAAAGGAAACCTTATAAGATCACTCTCTTGTCGGTCTGTCCGTCTGTTTGATGGTGTGTCACCACCGATGTTCTTAGGAAAGGGTAGACCTAGCAAGTTGAAATTTATACTGACTATAGTCCCTATTAGGTGTATAAAAATCAAGGTCCTGAGTCTACACGATAAAAAGATATGGGAAAATTTAGATTTTCGTAAAAACTTGTAAGTACCTACCGAAATTTACCTTAATTTCGGTCTAAAACCTATATGGTAGTTCCCTTTAACCCAGAATCTCGAAATTGTGCAAAAACCAAGGTCTTACAGCACGAATAAAGGAAAAATTCAAAAAAATAAAAAGAAGTGGAAAATTAAAGTTACACATATTTCCTACTTTGTACGGAACCCTCGGTGGGCGAGTTCGACTCGCACTTGTTCATATTTTTTTATTATTGGTGATACGTATGATAAAGTATTTAAATACTGTAATAAAATAATGACAATAATGGTTACAATCATTTAGAAATAAAGAAAAAAATTAAATCTTACAATGCACTACTAATAGATAAATTGTCAAAAAAGTACATGGTCATTGTTATTAAAACATTATGAAGATATTTCATGTCACTTTTCTGAGCCAAACTTGACCGATCGCTTTTAACGATAGTTGTCTGTGTGAGAATAAAACGGATAACGCACGGTAAATGACAAGTGAAAGTACGTACATAATTTACGTTAAGCTAAAGTATTTTGAACATATTTTTAAAACTTAGTAATCATCAATTAAACACATTTTACACAATATACCTACAAAGAATTTTTTCTTTAATTTTTTGACTTCAGCGCTTATTTATTAAGTTTTAAGATACCATAAACACGAATCTAAAGTTACTTATTTTCTATTACATTAACTTTCTCAAATTTCAAAATTATGAAAATTGAAAAAATGGGGTATTTAGGTAAAAAAAGTCAGAAGTAAAATAATAAGTAACAAGTCATTATTTTTCTATTTTCCTATTAAGTTTATATCATGTGTATGTGTGTGTGTCTGTGGCATCGTAGCTCCCCAAAGGTAGAACCAATTTTGTTTTGTTTGAAAGGTGATTAGTCGGGAGTGTTCTTAGCTATGTTTGAAGAAAATCGGTCCAAGATGGTCGTCTTTTAAATTTTCACTAACATTTTAAAATATTCAGGAGACTTGTGGAACCCTTTCTTTTTTTGTGCAAAGCTTTTGTTCTGCGATTTTCTCTTATGAGTCCCGTTTGGATCATCACGCTTAATCATCCAGTGTCAGCCATCGGGCTAATATTCCACTTTCCTTGATACACATATAAAACATGAATATTTTGTATAACCAACTTATCAACCTACTAAGGCGTATGTCATGTTAGCTGCGTTTTGTTATTGTTTCTGTAAAAACTTGACAAAAATATTATATGTATTTTATTGAATTAATTTAGGGTAATTGATTTATTACAATCAGACAGTCTCAAGTATATATCATTATAATTATAAGTTTAACTAAACGTATATTGCCTTCTAACTAAATTCCTATAGAAATATGACAAAAAAAAAGTAAATTCACTATCCCAAAATTCTGAGGTGACAGAATTTTTTGAACTTTTAAAAGCTAATTCGTTGTAGGTCTCAGTTCTTATTTAATCGATTTTAAATTTAATTACATATTAAATCATTTATTAAGTCTGCGTAAATTGACAGGTTAATGTATTACAAAAATATGCAAAGTAGCTTGTTGAATTACGGTGACATTACCCATTTTAAATCACACTCATCAATTTTATGTATTTATAATTTGTAACTTAATATATTACGTATATATATTGTTACTCGTTTTACTAGTTTTAACAACTGCTTTGTTAAGTGGATTTTAGCTTAGACGAGATAAATGGCCTAACATAAGGTCGTCTCAGTAAAAATATTTGCGTAGATAAAACAAGAATAAGTTTTAATATTAATATTGTCTTATTAATATTTAATTAAAATCTTCCAATACCACTTAAACTGGTCAATTACATTCGTCACTGCATATTATAATATAAAGACTGTCTGTCTGTGTGAACGCGATAAACTCAAAAACTACCGAACGGATTTTCTTACGATTTTCACCAATAGATGCAGTGATTCATGAGGAAGATTTAGGTATACACCTACCTACCTAATTCATTAAGTTATTTGAAAACAAAGTATTACAGAATTATTCCTCTTAAAAAGATCTTCCTATTAAACTGTAACAACGCTATGTGAACCTAAGGACACACCCGAGCGCAGCGAGGATAAGCCACTAGTATAATTTTAAAACTAGTAATCTTTTCTCTACATTGCCTACCTAGTTCTAGTAGAAAGTAATGTAGAGACTCTTGTTGTACGATACTCAAGGTAGAGCTTACACCTTCCGAAAATAGACAAATTGGGTTAAAAGACAAAAAAGTATGTAAAATTACCATATATATATATATGATCCTATTAGTAACTAAGTGATTTTTAAGAATAAGAAATAATTATATTATGTATAAGTATACATATGTATACTCAAAACGTTTCTTTGAAGTATTTATGTTTATATATATAACTAGCAACTTACCGTGTGTCTTTGGGTGAATTTTAAATACATATAAGTAGTTATTAGCCGGCGTCAGCCATCTGCCATGTACATGTTATTTATTTTTTCGCGTATTTTTCCGAGTTTTTATAGTTATTCTGCTATTCCGGGCGGAGACAAATCCAACAAATCAAAGATCATACAAATCGATCCAGCCGTTCTTGAGTTATAAATGGTGTAACTAACCCGACTTTGTTTTATTTAGATATTATATAGATGATATATGCATTATGGACTTATTCAAAGCATTGTAATACTAATAACTAAATAATAACTCGCCGTTTGACTTACATTTCATGGTAATTTATTTCTTACAACGTAACAAAGTATTGAATTTGAGTCCGGTTTTATATATAGAGAAAGTGGTTAAGGCTTGATAGTAAAATACATAGTGTTATGATTAATGCCCAAATTGACTTCACTACTTGTCGATGTACAAAAACACCTTTTAATATAATAAACCGTCATGTTTTTCAAGATCTAAGCTATTATTATTTATGACTAGCATTGCCCGCGGCTCCGCCCGCGTTCAGATGACCAAAAACCAAATTCTTAGCTTTTACATATTAGTATACTCTTACAATGCAGTTTTTGTATTTTTTCTCAGAAATGAGATATTTTTCCGCGGTAAAAAGTATCCTATATGTTGACCCGGATAACCAGCTATCACCATACCAAATTATCCGCATATCCGTGATGAGGTAACAGACAGACAGACAGACAGACAGACAGACAGACAAACATTCTAAAAACTATAGATTCGGCCTCTGTATCGATAATAATGTCTATTTCAATAAGATTTTCCAAAAAATATTTAATGTATAGATTCGGCTTAGTTACAATTTTATTATATGTAGATATCAGTATACGGGCAG